CGATCCGGGCCATACGCCCAAGTCCGAAATCATCATGCGAACCTGCTGGTACCTTCAGATCCTGATTCCGAGGTCGTTTACTCAAAATTCCAATCCTAGTTCATTCTTTCACTTTAAGCTTCTGAAATAAGAATTCTCTTTCCAAATCGACTCTGAATTCCCCGGAACTTAATTCCGACCTCACATACAAGTCGTAATACCTAAATTGAAGCTGCTCATGGCCTCAGACTGCTGAACTACGCGCTAGGGCTCAAAACGACCGGTCGGGTCGTTACAAAGAGCATTTTACGAGTGTCTCACTCCGAGGCTAGTCTTAATTTTTCCTAACTCCGATTTGGCAAGTGAAAACAAAAATGATTAAGATTTATAATCGAATATTCATTAATTTTTTTACCTTTTAAATTCTTTCTTATTTGATTTATGTTGGAAGTCTTTATATATAGAATTTTAAGAGCAATCAAGAATTTATCTTATATAAATCATTCTCTTATTTAAATAATATAATATGATCATAATTTTTTTGGGCATAACATGACTATAATTCATTCGCTGTTATCTTTAAACCCTTTTAATTAATTACTCAAATAATAGTTTTCCCTTTATTGATTATTTTGTATAATATTTTAAGACGATACTCAACTATCAAAACAAATAACAAAAAAAATTATAATAGAGATAGAGAGAAAGAAGGAAGGAGAGAGAGAAAAAAAATATATAATCTGATAACTTCTGTCATTGGCTGAACACCAAAAGTTACAATAATTCATATTTTCTTATTTGTTAAGCCAGCTACACATAATCAACATTCATCATTAATTTTTAGGAACTTAAGAGAAAAACATTCTTGGACAATGAAAAAAAGAAGACTTTTTTTCTTCTCTTAACTCTTAAGTTAAGTAAAAACAATGAAATTGAACTACATATGGTAGAAAACCGTGTGAATCAAATATTGTATTGATGATTCACACGGTCCGCACGCTGGTTCATACAATGCGCCGCCCGCTCTTGTATTTGTAATAACTTGTCTTGAATTCAATTAAATGTTGATGGAAAAGAACCATAACTATGTAACCCTATTCCTAAAAGATTGACCCCAAAATAGCATATCCAAATTATAAGAAAGCCCCCGTTTGGAAAGCCACCTAAGAACTTGATTTGGATGTAATTGTGTGTAATTACACAGTTTGACATGTTTGTCAGGACAATTAATTACTTGGTCACCATGTAATTGGGTGTAATTGGAGAGGTGTAATTACACTCTCCGATTCTCAAGGGGGAAGTGAGAATTGGTGGTAATTATACAGTGTAATTACAAGGTTACTTTTTAATTTCTTTCCATTTTAGTTTTATGTTTATTTATTTTCTTTATAACTTTTGATTTTCATTATTTTAATTTTTATTTTATTTTTACTTTTTTATTTCTTTTTAAATTTTAAAATGTATTTTTTTGTGCATTATTTATTTTTTATTTCTCTACCTTTACTTCTTCCGATTCCATGTAATTGCTCGTATATTTTATTTCTTATTTGTTTTATTTTCTTCATTTAGCATAACTGCGTTTATTATTCAAGTTTTGGAAACTACACCTCCTAATATTAGAAATAATGAAAAAAAAGAGCCATTAACAAATTTGGCAACCACCAAAGGATGTGGTGCAGCGGATGGGGCTGCTCTTCTCTTAACCAGAGGTCTCGAGTTCCAGCCCTGAGTATGGAAAATCCTTGGTAGGGAGCACTTCCCCACAAATGGGGCCCTACGCGGCGCGAATCCGGATATAGTCGGGCTCCAATGTGGGTACCGGACACCAATTAGGAAACCGAAATAAAAGAGTCATTAACAAATTCGGCATATAATGAGTGAAAATTTCGTTGTTGAATGAGGTTATAAACTTATTATATTTTATAATCTTAAGTTGTATTGGAATTTATTTTTATTATATATGTCTTAATTTGACATATGTATAAGTTTTTTNGTGAGGAGGAGGAGCACAGACGCCTCGGTAAGGAGGTGTGAGAGGTTGACATTGGAGGGCCTACGGAGAGGTAGATGTAGGCCAAAGCAGAGGTGGGGAGAGGTGATTAGACAAGATATGGCGCAGCTTCAGCTGACCGAGGACATGACCCTTGATAGGAAGGTATGGAGGTCGAGGATTAGGGTAGTAGAGTAGGTAGTCTAGAGTGTTCATAACAGTAGTATTGGCACGCAGTCTCGCTTTCTGTTGGTAGTAGGTTTTTATGACTAACCGTTGTTTTTTTTCCATTGTTAATTACTTTACTATCTTGTTGTTGTTATTCTGCTTTTATATGGCTTTTGGTACTGTCCCTTCTTGTCTATGTTTTCATTAATGTGGTGCTTATGCTTTCCTGTCGAGGGTCTATAGGGGTAAGGTCTGCGTACACACTACCCTCCCAAGACCCCACGGAGTGGGATAATACTGGATATATTGTTGTTATTTTATTTTATCAAATATACATTCCATGATGTTCTTACGAAACGTATGTTTTTAGTTTTTATAATTAATTAAACTAAATATTATTAATTTAAAAATATATATAAATTATTTTTACAATATTAGTTATAAATATATGATTATTAATTAGTGTATATTCAAGAAAAGATATGCATTTTAAATACCAAATCTAATATCATTTATACTTATAAAAAATTATTTATAAGCATATATTTATTATTTTTAACTTTTAAGTTTTGATAATTCATTTAAAATTTAATCTAACTGTGTAATTACATTTGTGCAACCAAACAACACGCTTGTAATTACACTGTAATTACGTTGTGACAAACAAATAGGTCGCCGTAATTACTAGACTGTGTAATTACTAGGCTGTGTAATTACTACCCTAGTAATTACACCAATTCCATTTACTGGGTAGCTTTCCGAACGGACCCTAAATATTTTAATGCAAACATATTATTTAATATTATTTAATAATTTTTTTAAAAAGTTGTATACTCAGACATGGATACACGCGCAAAGCGCGTACCATAAGACTAGTAAAACAAAATAAGTAAGAGTTATTTTGTAGTTTTAATTTTTTTTACAAATTATAGTTTATAAACAGTATGGCATTTCATTATTATCCTTTCAAGAAAAGAAAAGACAACAGAAAGGACTAATTTTCCAGGCATTAGTAAATTTTTTATACTTATAAGGAAATTTATTTTAAATTAGGACTGTTATATTGAAACAGGAGGAAAACATTTGTGAAAATTTCGTTCAGAGAGATCACACTCATCTAAGCTCACAGGAAAAAAAAAATTTATATAGCTCTAACAAATATTTAAAAAATTCAAAATTTACATAAAATCATATTTAAAGAAAAGCTATTAAGAAAAGTCAATGTTAAAAAAAAAAAAAATCTCTATCAGTAAAAAGAAGAACTCTCTCTCTCTTAATTTATTGATTGCAAATTTTCATGCATTTTAAATATCATAAAAATTACTCATGCTTTGAAATGCATTTTATGTAGTTTTAAATTATTAAAATCTTATTTAAAACTAAAATAATCAATATCCGAGTTATACAAAAAATTTAAAAATTCAATCCTCGTACTCAAAACCCTGCTCTATTATTTTGGGATTGAGGGAAACTATCTTTATCCTAAAATTAAAATTGGGAAAGGGAAAATATAGTGTGAAAAAGGAAATATTTGTGAATTCTTGGTCAAACACTCATAGCCTGTTTGGCCAAGCTTCTCCCCACCCCAAATGATTTTTTATTTCCCCCTCAAAAATACCTCTTTTTTTTTAACTTGAGGTATTTGGCGAAGCTTTTTTGGGGAAAAAAAAGTGCTTATGGGAAGAAGCAGAAGCAGTTTTAGAGAAGCAGAAAAAAGCAGCTTCTCCCCAGAAGCAGAAGCAAAAGCAGTTTTGACTTTTCTTCTTACTAAAAATACCCTTAGCAAAATATGGTATATATCGAAATAACCTTACTTATTTTAAATGTAATACCTAGAATTAGAGATTATACTATTGAACTCTCCTGATGTATAAATATTTCTTTTAATATATGGTGACTTTTGAGATGAATGCTTGTATATTTGTAAATAATTTTTTGATATATTTAAATCATCTTGAAAGAATTAAAGTACTCTTAAATTTTATTTTCATGTTTTACTTAAATAAAATAAAAAAGCTTAATTATTATCTTTAATAATAAATATTTGAGATTATTTTTTTTATTCATATAATATTAATTATTAAGTAAATCTCTTCATGTCCTTATTCGTAATTCGATACTTAAAAATATTTTTTGAAAAGCTTGGATAAATACAAATTATTGATAAAAAATGCTTATCAGATTGATTAGCCAAACACAAATTGTTTCTCTCAAAAAATACTTTTTCGAAAAGCACTTGTCAAAATAAGCCGACTATCAAAAAAAAGCACTTCCAGGTGGGCCAAATAGGCTATCAATCTGTAGCAGCCCACTAATCCTGGCTCAAAGTCCAGCCCAATCTTGTTCAATTTTCCGCTAAATTTGGTCACTACTCAGAGTCAGAGCCAAAAGTTGGAATTTTATTGTTTGTCAGTGAGTAGTTGGTGAACAAGAATATCAAACAGCAAAAAATCCATCAGCAGACCAAAATACCCATTTAACTTCTAGCCATTTTTTAATAAAAAGCTTCAACCTTCAAGTCCAATTTTACATACCCATTAAGGTAAAATCCTTCAAATTCTTGCTTTTTTTGTGTTTTTATTAAGTGGGGTTATGTGTTTTTATTCATTATTTGATCTTAATTGGAGTTACTTAATATAATAATTTGTTCTTGCTATGTATTGTTACACTTTGCAGTAGCTAGTGGAAAAGCTTCAATCTTTAACTCCAATTTTTACATATCCATTAAGGTAAATCCTTCAAATTCTTGATTTTTGTTTGTTTTTATTAAGTGGGGTTATGTGTTTGTGTTCATTATTTGATCTTAATTGGAGTTCTGATTATAAAAATTTGTTCTTGGAATATATTTTGACTCTCTTCAGTAGCTAAAGGAAAAATGGCAGTAGTAGATGATGATGATCATGAGCAACAAGTTAAGCCACCACAAGAAAAGAAGAAACCAGAGTCTGAGGATGATAAAAGGTCAAATCTTTTTTTTTTCTGTTATCAGTTCACTTTTTTCATGAATTTATGAAAAAGATGTTTTTTTAGCTGTTAATCACTTTTTTCCAAGAAACCAGAGACTGAGGATGACAAAAGGTGTAATCTTTTGTTGTTTTTTAGAATTGACCCTGTTCTCTTAATTCATAAATTTGTGAAAAGAAAAGTGTTTTAATGAAGTTTTTAGCTGTTTATCACTTTTTTTCAAGAAACCCGAGACTGAGGATGACAAAAGATCAAATGTTTGTTCGTTAAGAATTGACTCAGTTCAATTTTCTCATGAAAAGAAAAGCGTTTTAATGAAGTTTTTTTGCTGTTTTATTCACATTTTGTTCAATGATGAGCTGTGTGCAGAAGGAAAAAGATTGTTCCTGGAAGTTTGATGAAAGCTGTGGTGAGGCCTGGTGGTGGTGATTCAAGACCTGCTGAGGGTGATCAGGTAGTACTTTTGTATTTTTTCTTCAGAATTATGTGCTTGTGACGATGATTCATATTGATGGATAGGTCAGTTTTTGTGTGTTAGGTTGGGAAAATGTTGGTAGCTTATTTTGTTTTTCAATGAATTTTTGAACAGGTTATATATCATTGCACAGTTAGAACACTGGATGGAGTTACAGTTGAATCAACACGGTCAGAATTTGGAGGTAGGGTTGATATAATGGAACCTTTGAGAAGCTATGTGTTTTTTTTGAGAAGGTAACATTTGTGTGTATTGATATATAACAGTACATAGGTTGTACTGAAACCATATTTACAATATGCAAAATGATAGACTACTGAGCTACAATCCTAGCAGTACTCTAGGACTTCTAGGATCGATACCATATCTACTGGCCACTTTTGTTTACACCAAAAATAAAAAAGGACACAATTCATTTTGATCTTCTCTATTGAATTACTACTATCCTCAAAACATCTAGAGTTTCTCTCCTTCCATATTGTCCACCATATACATGCGGGGACAGTCCTCCATCTATCTCTACTTCCAGCTCCAGTTCCAGCTTCATCCCAACTAGTGAGCACTTCAGTAATCTTAGAGGGCATTGTCCATGAAATACCTCTGAGGTTAATGAATATCTTCCATAGTTGATCTGTGATCCTGCAGTGTAGAAATAGATGGCTAACTCTCTCAACTGTTTCCCCACATAAAAAACACCTAGAGGACAGTGGGATCCCTCTCTTCATAAGATTATCCTGGGTCAAGACTGCCTCCTTTGCAAGTAACCACGTGAAACAAGATACCTTAACTTTCCAGATGTGTTTCCATGGCCAGTTAGTGATCTGTACATTAGTATGATTAAGCATCTTGTAAGCCTCAATTACCTTCTAGATTCCTCTGTGGTGGCCCTTCCACCATGGTGCATCCCTACCATTCTGAAGGCCTTTGAATGCTTCCAGTTGCTTGTAAAGTTCAGTCAACCTCGTCAGCTCCCAGTCATTCAGCCTTCTTCTAAGTATCAGATCCCAACCTTGAGGGGTCCACATTTCAGCTATTGTCTTTTGCTGGTGTTGAGCTAAACCATACCTATCAGGAAATAGTTCCCATCAAGCTTCCAGATCCCATCCAATTATCCTTCCAGAAAGAAGTTTTGGTACCACTCTTCACTCTGATGCAGGATTGGCTCTTCACTATAGGCCAGAGTGTTCTGATGGATCTCCATAAACTAACCCCATATGTTGTATTGACTTCCTTTGAAACCCAGCTGTTTTCCTCTCCATACTTAGCTTTGATGACATTACTCATTCTTGAGAGAATCTCCATAACCACTTCATCTTAAGAGCCTTGTTTTGATTTTTTAAGTTCCTGATGCCTAGCCCACCTTTGTTTTTGCCAATCGTCAGAGATTTCCATTTCACTAGGTGATACCCCTCCTTTTCTTTATTTCCTTGCCAAAGGAAAGATCTTCTGAGACTATCCAGTCTCGGAATAACACTTACAGGGATGGGAAAGAGTGACATCATGTATGTAGGAAGTGAGTCAAGTACTGAATTGATCAGAATCAATCTTCCTCCCATAGAAAGGTACTGAGCTTTCCATCTGGATAACTTCTTCTCACATTTTTCGACGACTGTATTCCATATCTCCTTGGACTTGGACTTAGCACCTAAAGGCATGCCCAGATAGAGATCAGGAAGAGATCCTACTACACCTCCCAAAATCAGTGATAGTTGTTCCATCTCAGGCACATCATTGATTGGATACAGATGACTCTTTTTCCAATTGTTACGCAATCCTGAAGTACCTTCAAACAAGACCAGGATGATTCTCAAATACCTCAACTGTTCTTCTTTTGCATCACAAAAAATTAGAGTGTCGTCAGCATATTGGAGATGTGTAATCTCCAGATTGTTGTTGCCCCTTCTTGCTACCTCGAACCCTCCTTTGAGAAGCTATGTTTACTGTCAAACAACTTATGCAGAAGGATTATGGATGTGACGTGTTGCTTAATTCACTGTTCTTACTTTGGAATAAGGAATACCGAGTTATACTTTAGTTTACAAATAACTATATGATGACAGGATTTACAAATTAAATATACCCCACCTCTATATTTTGATTTTGTCATATAAGTTAACTCAGTTTTATTCCCATGGATGCAATAGGACTTTACAGCTTGTTTGCCATCACTTCATGCCATAAAGTTGTTTTAACTTTGTTTCTTTGAATGATTACACTTACTTTTTTGCTTCACTCATTCTTACCTCTGTTCTCTAATTTGCAATATGCCAACTCATATTGCTTCATTGCACTGCGATCTTTTCTCTTTTACATTTTTGTTACACAGGCAAGGGTACCCCAATAAGGCATGTTTTGGGAAAGAGCAAGTTGATTTTGGGATTGCTAGAGGGGATTCCGACAATGTTGAAGGGTGAAGTTTCAATGGTAGATCATTTTGAACCTCAAATTTAGTTATTACAATGCAAATCTGTCTATTTAAAGTCTGTTAAAAGTAAACAAATCATAACATTCTACCTTTTTCAGCTAAGTAATCTTGAAATTGTTGATAATAACTTTATCTTCTCCACTAATTTGCTTATCATGACAAGTGCATAGTTTCAACTTCCTCTG